ATTTGAGGCTGAACTTCTGACGGTCTGACTCTAAGATGAAAAATGGATTTCTTCCATTTTGCCATCATTTTCCCAAAGTTTCCTGAAAAGAGCCTTGAAACTACAAATACATGGAAATCATAATAATATTTCCTAAAACTGATTAAAAACTTTAAAAAAATTTGAAATCAATGGTGAAAATAGGTACAAATACGGTGTTATCAGGTACCTAAGCAATTGGCGGAGAGGCTCTCTCTGCTTAGATTGGTGTATGAACGGTGAACAAAGAACCAAGGGGGATAGATGTGACGCCACACAGCTGATGGAGAGGCTGTGATAAGTCGGTGAACTCAAGAACAAAGGGGAATCCACTCAGTGTTCAAGAACTCAAAGAAGAGGTGGCTGCTCTTACGAAAATGCGTTCTTTTATTGATTAGAGTAAAATAGTGTGTCTTACAATGCCGCATGTGAGACTTATAAATAGTCCTTCGGCCTTGACCTTCTAGGGTCGACAGAGACTTAAGAAAAAGAAAGAAAACTTGTGACAGACTCTTGTAAAAGTAAATAAAACAGAATGGAAAAAATACTAAAGTTCTCGGCTAAATTAAAAAGGAAACATAACAAAAGGGCCTTAAAACAAATTCTGCAAAACAACGAGAGGGAAACTCGTTAGTTTAAATATAATTAAACCAAACACTCACCTTGGTGTCGTTTTGACACTTAGTCATTTCCTCAATAGTGAAGATCATGCGAGCTCCTTGGATCCTTAGTAGTGGCCATTCCAATGTTGGTGTGGACTTGATGCTTGTGTCGTCTTGATCTTCATGCCAGTCTTAGTCCTTCCTCAAGTTGTTCCTCCTCTTGAATAATTAGCATCTTATCCTCGGTTAAGTTCATTGCTACTTGATTGAGAAGTGGCTGATCGATGCTGAGTTTATCAATGCCTTTGGTAGATCAAGGTGTCCATAGCATTATTGAATTCTTCTCTCAGCTTCCTTAGCCCTGATCTTGTCTTTGGAGGGTTCTTCATGGTTGGAAAAGGGTTTTTAGGGGCCATGTCTTCATCAGAGTTAGCCAAGTTAATTTGATAATTGTGGTCAAAGTTGTTGAAACGGAGACGATAGATTTTATGTTTAAGCATGGAATGTGAATATATCCAAAAACATGCACGTTGAATTTTGGCTTGCTTTGCTTCTTCCTTATTTACCGTTAAAAAACCTTACGGAACCCATTTGAACACGTCTTTTGTGTGACCTAACCACACAAAGGACACTACACCAATCGTTATTTTTTGTCTTTATTGCTATTGTTAGTATACAAAGAAATTGATTATTTAAGAAAGAAAAAAGGAAGATATTTATCATCAGGAGAAAGAAACATAGAAAAACAATAGCGAGAAGTTTTCATTACTAAAAATAAAAAATACAATAGTGAAAAGAAAGAATATTGCTTTAGTTTCTTGTTAGCAACTTGCTAACTGTGCAACCTTGATAACGACTAGCTCCAAGAGATAATAAAACCTAAAGCAAAAAAGTTCAGATTTTTTATGTGAAATTAAACATCTCTGAGTTGGAGTAAAATGTACGTTTTATCATAACAATCGTTTTGTTTTTTTCTTTTTCTTTTTTGTTGCTTAAGTGTTGTTTTGGTCTAACTTTTCTTCATAGATTACGAATCATAATCACTCAAGGTCCAAAATGCGAATGCATGCGGATGAAGTATAGTAAGGAAATAATTGAAATATATTAATAGGTATGAAAATATATTTAGAGGGATTGAAAGAAACAAAATTATATTAAAAAGGTATGATAAAATCATAGATCGAGAGTAGTTCTTTTTTAGCAATTGATCATTTATAATAATAGTTTTATGTCTCGCAAGCATGATTTTATTTTTAAATAGCTATTATTACTAATCATTCAGCAGTTAATTCATCATATTTGTCTTTTTTAGTTTTCTTTTTTTTTATTTTATTTTATTTTTTATCTTCATATTTTCATTGTTATCTTCATCGTTCTTATTTCTTATCTTTAATGTTTTTATCTTCGTATTTTCCAACATTTTTCTTCATCAACTTCGTGTTCTCTTACTTTATCTTCTTCTTCATCTTTTTTTTTTTGGTTTTTCTTCATCTATGTTTTTTCTGATTTTGTTTCGTCTCTTTTTGGTTACTTATCTGGTGTATGTATTCTTCTCCTTATACTTTATCTATCTGTATTCTCATTTCTATTTTTTATTTTTTTCACCGTCTTTAATTTATTTTTTAATCATCATTGTTTTCTCTAACTTATTCTTTTTTTTAACAATATATCAATTTTAATAATATATATACATATATTTTTAAATCCAGTTAATATTAGAATTATCTTTAGTTATTAATATCTAACTGTCACTTTTCTTTTTGTTTACACTAAAATTCTTTGTATTTTATTTAATTTATACTAAATATACTAATAATAAATATAAATATAGATGAACAGAAAGCTCTCCTATTATATAATAGGCTACAATATATAGTTTTTTTTAATCAACTTAAAAACAGTTTAGAAATCCAAGTAAAAATACAAATATATATAAATTAATAATGAAAATTAGAAATATATAAATATATATACAAATTATTGGGTAAATTTCAGTCTCAATAATTTATATATATAAAGAGAGCTTTTCTCTCTTCTCATATTACCATCTGAACATCCACCTGTACACTATTTAACAAAATAAATTAATTTAAATATTTAAATATGAATATACAAACATATTCACACTAATATGTATCCATTAAAAAAATATAAATAACATAACTGAATATAAACAAGATATCCAAAAAAATATGTTCATGTGAAGGTGGACCATAAACAAAAGGAAAAAGAACAAAAAATTGAACAAAAGATAATAAATTTAAAAAACCCCAAAAAATGTAAGACACAACCAAAATAAAGAGATAGTCTAGAAATAGGGCCATAAGGACATATTGTTTTGGGAGATGAAGAAAAAAAGTTGGAAAATAATAGCAGGAAGATGTAATTTTGCTTTAAAAAAAAAGAAATAATCAGTTTAGATGAGAATATAAAGAAGTAACATGAAAGTAAGATATAACTATGAGATATTTACACCCAAATGCACTTTTTACAACTCATATTACAGCAAAATGTACTTCTTGCTATTAGGTGACTTTTCTTTGTTTTCAAATTTTTTAGGATTTTTTTGCCCCTCAGTAAAATAAACACTCTAAAAATAATTCAAAATTATCCTCCGTGTGCACGATAACGGTGGATGCAAATGAGTGGATACCCGATTAAAACCCAGATTTTTAAAAACATTAAATTTTTTCCATCTGTTTTGTTTTGTATTTTTCTATATTGTGAAAGATTGAAAATAATTTTTTTTGATAGAATGAATCATAATTTTATTTTCTCATTATTTTAAGATCCACTATACTATAGTTTATTTATCAAGGAAGAAATTTTTCAAAAAGCATTTATAAAAAAATTCAAAAAAAACACAAGTGTAGTTAGATATGGATGATACATGATGGATATAAAACATGGACATGATAGCGTGGATTAGTTTTAATTAATATATTCGACGTAGATCTACATTTTACATTGTCTACAATATGAACATGATTGCGTGGATATGTTTTCATTGATATATTCGATATGAATATACATTTTACATCATCTATAATCTATTCACATGATGTATGATGGACATATAACATGGACATGATTGCGTGGATATGATTTCATTATATATTTATATATTCGACGTGGATATACATTTTACATTGTCAATAACATGGACATGATAATGTGGATATATTATGGACAATGTAAAATGCATATTCATGTCAAATATATGAATGAAAACATATCCACACAATCGTATCCATGTTATATCATGGATCATCCACATCATATTTTGTGAATAGATATCTAAGTAGATTTCTGTTTTTTTTTGAATTTTTTATAAAGGTTATTTGAAAAATTTCTTGTTTCATAAATAAAGTATAGCATAATGTGTCTTAAAACAATAATGAAATAAAATTAGAATTCATTCTAACAAAAAAATATTTTATATATTTCACAATACAGAAAAATACAAAACAAAACAGAAGGAGAAAAAAATTATTGTTTTTAAAATCTGGATTTAAACCAGTATCCACTAACTCATATCCACCGTTATCGTGAATACGAGGAGTAATTTTGTATTATTTTGGTATGAAATTTAAAAAGAAGTGTTTTTTTGTAAGAAGAAGTGAAAAAAGTATTTTTGAGTGTAAATCACTCTATAACTGTTAACATTGATGATGGTGTGTCTAAGGAAATAAAGATAAGTTGTAAAGATATGTTAAACTTCATAACTTTCTCACGGTGAGAGGTACCAACTAAAAAAAAATTAATAGAATTAATGTCTATTTCACTAAGTTTGCATATACACGTATGTTCAAACTTCAAACTTGTAACTATTGTTTCAATAAGAACAAAATATCTAAAACTAATAAAAATTAATAATAAAAATTAAATTAGTAGCTTATAATTATTTATAGAAACGTTTTTTTTTTAAAAGAAACAACCAATATTGTATCAACTAATAGAAAACATATAAAACAGATAATTTACATATAATAATTTTCTTTAAATATACCCTATAATTCTAGTAGAATATAATTTTGAAGAAGGGGTTACAATCGTTCAGGTTACTTCAAGCGAAATCCCTAGGCTTTAACACAATCAAGTTGATGAATCATAGAGCACCATAGACAGTGGCGGACGCAGGTAAGATGGTCAGGTAACTTAAGTGGTTTGTGATGGATTGGTTAGATGGTCAAACCATCCGAATGGTGACCTTAATAACACGTAAAGCATTTTGGTGTTTCATTTGCCACCTCTTAATAAAACATGTAAACAAAAATAATTAGATAGGATGAAAATTTAAAACTTCTTTGCAATTATTCCTACTTACTTTTAGTACTTTCTATGAATTGTAAAACGAAACGGCAAAAAGGTATACGACATTTGTAAAGTTTCCATCTTTTCCTATTTTTTCCTTTCAAAGCTCTATTTCTTTTCTGTAAAAACATCCATTGCCTTGCCTGACTCAAAAGGCAATGGCAACAACATGTTCAAGCCTATTGGTGTTACCAAATCTCAGATTGAATTGTAACCAGAGACCCAATTTCAAGGTAAGAGCTCAAATCTCTGGTGAGAACAAGAAGGCGACATCAGTAGAGCCTGTGAACGGTTCGGTCTTTGTGTCTAATTTCCAAAGCCCAAAAGGGAGTGATGTTTTGGCAAATGAAGTGAATGGGAAAGTAAAATCTGGAAGGAAAGACGAAATTGAGCTGTTATGGGATGATGGGTATGGCTCAAAATCTGTAAAGGATTACTTTGCGGCGGCTAGAGAGATCTTGAAGAAACCTGACGGTGGACCTCCACGGTGGTTTAGTCCCGTTGATTGTGGCCAACCCATCAAAGATGCACCCACACTACTCTTCTTACCTGGTAATCGAATTCTATGGTTTTTAGCTTGATTGCAGAAAATTGCCTGCTTGCTTCTGACCTATGTGGGTTTTGTGTTGGCTCATAAGCTAAGACAACATTTTCACTTTTCTTTTTAATATTTGAAACTTGTATTAAATTTTCACTTCTTTGTTTTTTCATTGAGGAAAAAACTTGATTCTTTTAGGCTGTTCTGTCGAAATTCTTCAGAAGACTGAGTTTCTACTCCTTAGTAATTGGTTTTTTACTGTTATTATCTGAAGTATCGATAGTTTCAAATGTAGTGCCTGATGATTAATATCCTTACAATGTTTGAATCGGAATTAGTAAAGGTGCTATAGAACCTAATTGTTTAATCTTGTATTCAGAAGACTGAGTTCCTTAGTAATGGGTTTTTACTGTTTCAATTTTCAAAGTTCCAAGCTTTTTTGATAATTTCAACTTGTAGTAGTGTCTGGTGATTTATAATCTTCTATTGTTTGAATGGGAATAAAGGTGTTAAAGAACTTGATTGTTTAAGCTTTTCTGTTGGAATGACTTGTAATGGGTTTTTACTGTATTTATCTGATTCTCAGATAAATTGTTTTAAAGTTTTAGGCTTTTCTGATGATTCCAACTTTTCGTAGTGCAGGGCTCGATGGCACAGGGATGGGTCTCGTTCCACATCACAAAGCTCTTGGGAAGTACGTTCACTCTTTTGTAAAGTCTGGGTTTTCTAAGATGACATATATGCTTGAACCCATAATGCAGAAGCATTAGTATCTGATGCATGATAAATAATCCAAACAAATTAATCATGTCTCTGATGCAACGTATTCATAACTGTACACTTGATCTTTTCTGTTATGTTGAATGTCGTGTTACTTTTTGTCACACAAGTGTTCGCACTCTTGACTGTTTGTGATTATGTTTACTAAATACAGGGCTTTTCATGTCTGGTGCCTGCATATCCCCGTAAATGATCGAACTCCATTCGAAGGTAATAATTATCACGGATATAAAAAAAATACAGCGATATTCACATTTGGTTATGCAGATATTTTATACAGTACCTGTCTCTCTAAGGTCATAGAACATAATATCAAATCTTCTCTGGTGTTTGTTCCCTCTTTTCCCTCATTGTTTTTTCATCAAATAGAAATGCAAGAAAAATATATGTACAAACGAATATGGCTGTCACTATATATATATATATATATATATATACATTTGCTATTATATGTATTTGAATGACTTCCAAGTGGATATAGTTAGCGAGTGCTTCTGTATTTGGTCGTTGCTGACTTATTCATGTTATTTGCTCCATTTTCTCTGAAAATTATCTTACTGTTTGTTTGCCATAAAGGGCTGGTGAAAGTAGTCGAAGATGTTTTGAAGCAGGAGCAAGCTACACGTCCGAATAAGCCAATATATCTCGTGGGCGATTCCTTTGGAGGATGCCTAGCTCTTGCTGTTGCTGCCAGAAACCGTTCATTAGACTTGGTGTTGATACTAGTCAACCCAGGTCAGAAAATATTTATTTTCTTTCAGTTTTGTAGCTTTGTATGTAAATGCATACTTACATAAGATCTTTTGAATGGTCAAATATGTTTTCCTCATTATTTAGCTACATCATTTGAGAGGTCACCACTACAGCCGTTTCTGCCTATATTAGAGATGGTGCCAGAAGAGCTTCATTTTACTGTTCCTTATGCTCTGAGCTTTATTATGGGTACTTGAATTGATGCTTATTTTTAAGTAGGTCCTGTATTTTATTTTTAAATTATCTTCTCAGGCTTTCTTGATATCTAGGTGATCCAATAAAGATGGCTACAATGGGTATCGACAACCAACTTCCAGCAGGAATTAAAATGGAAAAGTTGAGACACAAGCTTACCAATTCTATGCTTCCTCTTCTCTCTGTGAGTGTTTTTTTAATGTATTTACTTGGTTCTGTTTCTATACAAGATTTGAATTTTTTTTACCATACGCTTTCAGGAACTCGGTGGAATTGTTCCAAGGGAAACTTTACTTTGGAAGCTTAAGTTGCTGAGAGTTGGCGCTGCTTATGCCAATTCACGCATCCATGCAGTTCAAGCCGAAGTCTTGGTCCTTGCTAGGTAATCTTCTTCCTTAATGTATTGCATTTCTCGGATCTTGTTTGTTATCTTGGTCTTTTAAAGAAAGACCTGCCTTTTATCATCAAGAAATTATAGCCTTATAGGAATGACTTTGGATTTCGTGGGCTTTCAGTGGAAAGGATAGGATGCTTCCTAGCCAAGAAGAATCAAAGCGGCTTTATAGGGTCCTAAAAAACTGTACAGTGCGATGCTTCAAGGAAAACGGGCATACCCTTTTACTGGTAGACATAGCCATTCACCTACTGAATCTATTTTGTGTGTATTTCCTTTTGCTAATGAAGTAGTGTCAGTATAATTTCTTACGGGAAGAGAGGAAAACCAGAAGAGTATGACCATTATTCTCTGACTTAGTGTTATTGTTTCTTCCAGGAAGACAGCATAAGTTTGCTCACAATTATAAAAGGTACATGCAAGTACCGACGCTCTTGGAGATATGATTTTGCTTCTGATTTCTTGCCTCCGAGTAAAGGAGAATTGGATTATGCCCTTCAGGAACTGCTTGGGTAACTTCTATAAGCCTTCATTGATTCTATTTCTCTTATACAAATGTCCAAAAAAGTGACGGTACAAGCTAAGATTACTATCTCATCCATTGGGTCTCTCCAAATGAGTAAAAGGGACCCAAATGTGGGGTTTTCTTACAAACTAAGCTCCATGTTATAGTATCTGGTCTGACTGTTTTCCTTGTGACAAGCAGGTTCTTACGAAATGCTGTTAGTTCTGTCTTTCTGTCGACCATGGAAGATGGGACTATAGTGAAGGGACTCGCTGGTGTTCCAGATGAAGGTCCGGTGTTACTTGTTGGTTACCACATGTTGATGGGCTTGGAACTTGGTCCAATGTCTGAGGCATTTATCAAAGAGAAAAACATTCTCTTTCGTGGAATGGCCCATCCGATTCTGTATTCAGAAAATGATTCAGAGAAGGATTTTGGTTATATGGACTGGATTAAAGTATTTGGTGCCTACCCTGTCACGGCAACCAATCTTTTCAAGCTGCTATCTGCTAAATCTCATGTTCTTCTCTACCCCGGCGGTGCACGAGAGGCTCTCCATAACCGGGTTAGTCATCTTCATATCTTTTTATTATTTGGTTTGATATAAGGAAAATGAGTAGCCAAAAGGCAAGTGGTTCCACCCGCTTAAAAAGGGGTGAAAGGAAACCTTTATATCTCTCTTAATGTCATAGAAAGATGAGAAAAAATTGATGAAACTTCCATATGGTTTTAGAAGTGCTGTTTTAAGCATCCGTTATTATTGGCTAATGAAGGAGGGAACTCAAGCATTTATTGCGAGAGCGAAAGAACCTTCTTGATTTTTAATGAGAAGGCAAAAAGAACCAAATTTGATATCTTATTATAGGAAAGTCAAAATAAAGTAGACTGCCAACGATCTGACGATAGAAAGTCTTGATTGTTTGTTTGCGTCTTTTTTTTCGTTTAGTGTAATTCTCTTCCAAAAGAACTCGCAACCATTGGTTAACGAAATTCATTTGTTATTTGTAAACTCAAATTTGGTAAGCATTTTTTTTTTTTTTTGACAACGTTTGGTAAGCATTTAAACTTTGCAAAGTTATTTTACAAAAAATTAAAAATGTTTTGTTGTTAGAAACAAAAATGATTATGGTTTTTGAAAATTTTCCACATAGAAACAAAAAATGTAGAAATTAGCATTTGAAAGTTGAAACCATTGAGGTTTATAAGTCCATGAAACTGTGCTGCTATAACATCAAAAAGTTTACATGCCATTGCAACGTCTAAGTTAATAGGAACACGACTTATGCTTAATTTCAAATAATTTTTTTTATCTGAGATTACGCTATTTAGCCTGGTGGTGATGTTAGAGTTTCTGATTATATATACTACTTTCTACGATCTTTCAGGGTGAACAATACAAACTAATTTGGCCTGACCAGCAAGAGTTTGTAAGAATGGCAGCACGGTTTGGCGCAACAATAGTGCCGTTTGGAACGGTTGGTGAAGACGACATAGCTGAAGTAAGTTGCCTGTTACAGTAAAACATCTCAAAGTTATTGAAAAAGAGGCAAGTTTATATTTTCTTTTTCGCTATTGCAGTTGGTTCTTGATTACAACGACCTGATGAAGATTCCAATTCTCAATGACTATATCTCGGATATAACTCGCGATACCAAAAGATTTAAATTGAGGTAAAATTGCTTTTCATTTAACTAAAACAGACGCATTGATTGTTTGGGTTTTTTTTTGCATTTGCATTTGCATTTGCATCTTGTGTATTTTTCCCCCAAAAGAACTCTAATAGGTTAAACAACCTTTGTTAATTGTAAACGGAAAATAGGTTTACACTATGTAAATGTGAGTATGTTTTTGATATTTATATTCACTTATCTTTTGGTGTTGGTATATACAATGTGCATTAAACAATTTATGAAAAAGTGTGTTATCTTTTCTAATGTGATTTCCTGTTTATCTTTTTGCACTCATAATTTCATAAATAAGGAAATTAGCGGTTGAAACAATCATATAAGTGTTGTTGTTGTTTCTCAAAAACTGATGAGTGTTGTGATGATATATAGGGAAGAATCAAGTGGAGAGGTCGCAAACCAGCAACTCTATTTACCAGGGCTCTTACCAAAAATCCCTGGTCGATTCTATTACCTGTTTGGTAAACCGATACATACCAAAGGAAGACCAGAACTCGTGAAAGACAAAGTAGAAGCAAACCGGGTTTACTTGGAGGCGAAAGCGGAAGTAGAGAAAAGCATAGCCTACTTGTTGAAGAAACGAGAGGAAGATCCATACAGAAGTGTTGTAGACAGACTAAGTTACAGTTTGACACACCTTCCTGAGAATGATGTTCCTTCTTTCGAACCATGATTGAAACAAAAAGGGTAAGTGTAGTTACTTCTCACAAAGAAAACGTATGTAATGTCATTATAGAAAAAAGTCCATGTATATCCCAACTTTTATATAGATGAAATTGCTTAATGAACATCAATTAGTTGTTCTTCATACTTTCCTCGTGCATCCAAATCTCCCGCAGTAATATTTAATTCTCTCAATTCATGAACTTGAGTTGTTTTGTGTGTGTGAAAAATGATCTACAATTGTACAAACTGACGAACTAATTTGAAGAGGGTATCATTTTGGTGAAAATTGTATATTTTTTCCAAAATATTAGCACTACCCTTGTGCCTTTGCAGGTGTAATTCAAAATATTAGTTTTTAAAATATCAATGCTACCTTTAGAACATTCCCAAGAGACACATCATATCTTCAAATTTAAAGTTTTATGCACTTTAAGAGAGACTTCAAATCTTCAAATTTTGAAAATCTGAACAGTGACACTATATATTTGAAGTTTTAAAGATTTAAAGATTTATCTTTTCTTTTGCATGTTGTCCTTATAATTAACTATCTTTATAAATAATGACTTTAGTTATATTTGTTTATCATTTTAATTTTATAATATGTCTGATAATGATTTCATATATATTTATATAATTGTAATTTCTAAATACAAAATTAAAAAACAACTTCAAACTAAAACATCACATAAAAATATTACAAAAAAGTAAATCACAAAAACACATAAATATAACATAATATTATTATACAGATTTATTAAGACAAGAAGCATGCCGAAAAGATGTTGAACGCGCATTTGGAGTTTTACAATCCAAGTTTGCTATCATAGCTGGATCATTGCGTTATTGGAAACAGAGGTTTTGCATTATATAATGACAGCATGCATTATAACGCATAACATGATAATTGAGATGAACGTGATAAAACCGCACTGATTAGAGACGCAAGAGCAGCACCAGAGGCAACAATTGAAATGACAATCAATGAGAATACCCGATTTCAACAATTTTTAGTTCGTAGTCTACAGATAGAAAATAAATAAGCACATTTATCACTTCGAAATGCATTGATTGATCATATATGAGAGTATTACGGAAATAATGTCAGTGAATAATTTAGTATTATATTTTGTTATTTCTGATTATGTTTGTGTGTTCTTTTTATAATATTAATGATATTTAATAAATAATATTAATGATGTTTAATAAATTAATATTATTTGTATCTTCTTTAATGTATGTTTTATAGTTATTTATATTATTTAATGAGTTTAGCTAATTATGCTGAAAAGTAAAGATTATAATGCAAAATAGAAAGTTTTTGAAATTTATTTTGAAGTGTCACTCTTGGAGAAAAACATCTAAAACTTCAAATTTGAAGTTTGTGGATCTTCAAAAATGAAATCTCTCTTGGAGATGCCTTTATGTCCACACAGACTTAACGTAGACTATTGAGATGCAGATTTAATACAAAATTAACACAAACGACTGTCTGACCTTCATAATGAAAGTACATGTATCCTTTTTTTTGTTAAACATTACAAAAAACGAGCAGAACTTTGACTCATTGTGCACTTATATAAGATTAAACAAACATTAAACTCATAAATAATTTAGACATAGTATAGTCTTTCGTACAAATAAGAAGCCAAAATTTGACTCTTTTGGCACTTACAAAAAGATAATACAAACATTAAACTCATAAACAATTCAGATATAATATGGTCATTCATAAAAATAAAATTAAAAATAATTAAGCATTTCTCTCTCCTCTCTCTCCAAAAAGATATTTTCTCTTTTCTTTCTCATTTTCATTTTGCTTCTCCGGCTCTCAGTGCTCCTCGCCAGTGTCACGAGAGGGCTTGTCCTGTGTTTTCTTTTTTTGCCCTAGCGCTTTGTTCCATGGTTTGGCTTGGTTTTTAGAGCTGATTTAGTGGTGAGCCGTGTTTTTTCTCTGGTGAGGCTTCTTCATTTTTTCAGTGGTAGAAGGCGGGAGCCCTCTGCATAGCCGTGTCTATTGAGGACTTGGTCCGGTGATGCCTCCTCAAGGGCTGACGCTGGAGACTCTCGATGGATCCTCCCCTTGGTTTTGTCTCAGATCTGCCTCCCTCTTCATAGTGGATGTTTGCGGGTGATAACACCGGATTTTGACCATTTTTATGGATCACTTTAATATCTTTTACAGGTGTTTTTACTCCATTTTCAAAGGTTTTCAAAGGATTTCTATGTTTCTGGATTTTAAAAGACTTTTCAGGTAATTTGGGATAAAGAGGCCCAAAATGGAACAAAAAGATTCTTTTGGATAAATGCAGACCGTCAGAACTCTCATGGAGAGACGAAAACCTTCTCACCGTCTGATCACCCTCAAAATTGGACAATTTATAGAAGAATCAACCAGGTTTCAAATGCACTTGGTTTGGAGACATTCCAACGGTTGGATCTCAAGATATTCCATTAGCCCCGGAGCCACTCGAAGTCGGCCAGCAAGTCACGCGACCGCGGCCAACAACCTATTTCCCGCGGTCAGAAGCTTCCCGACCGCGGCCAACCAACCAATCCCCGCGGTCACGACACTCTCGACCACAGCAATCAAGCTCCGAATTAAAGCCCATGTATCTGAAGTCCAAAGTCATTCTCAGCCTCAATTTCGGAACCCTAGAGACTATGGAGTATTGGAGACTATAAATACATGTCATTTAGGTCGTTTTTAGGGAGAACCATTCATACTTTACAGAAACCCTTTTCCTTTAGCCGTTTTTATGAGATTTTTGTAGAAGATTGTTCAAGTCCGAGTTCTTCAATAGAGAATCTTTCTTTATCTCTTTTCTTTACTGTTTTCATTACTTTTATTAAAACCGATGATGATGTCGACCTCAGCCATGTCTGAGTAGATCCCGAGTTGGGCTTAGGGTTCCCGAAAGGGGCTCTCATAAACGATTAAGACATCTAGGTTTATAGATCTGGGATTTCGACCTGTTCTCTGTTTATTCTTGTTCTTATTGCATGTATGCTTGATTGATCACCTAGTATCTGATCTAGATAGTTAGTGTTGCGAAAGTTTTCATTAAGTATCAGCCCTAGAATGAAACAGGCGATTTTTCCGTAGGAGTGGAAACCTACCTGCGGCGAGATCGTGAGTATTGACGAGTCTTGTGCAGCTCTTGCGTTCTCTCCCTTCCAGGGCCAGAATGGAAACCTACTGGTCAGGGTTGCGAGAAACAGTTGGTTATGATCACGACAGTGACGTAGTCATACCGCCGTACTCTAGCTCTACAACCCTATATATCGATATCCGTCAATCCCAATCTATTTACCCTAGTGTCAAAACCGATTATGATCCCTTAGAGTTCCCAAAAGCTCAGCGTTTTTAGCCATAGTTTACAATTCCATCGATTTTATTTGCTTACTTAAACCTGCATTTCAATTCCCATAGTTTGATATTTTACTTGCTTTACTAGTCTTTCATTCGATATTTTACTTGCTTTACTAGTCTTTCATTCGATATTTTACTTGCTTTGTTAGCCTTTCATTCGATTTCTATACTTGCTTTTTAGGATAGATTTATTTGCTTTCTTTTGTTTTAGTTTAATTCGTGACAAACAACCAACCTTTAAAACCAATCTAGTCTAGACATAAAGTTAAAAACCGTAGAAGAATACCAGACACACAAATCTCTGTGGATTCGATCCCTAAATACTACAACTGATTAGCTGTGCACTTGCGGCTTTCATTTGTTTTGTTAAGGGTAAAACTTGTTCCCTCACGCAGTTGACACGACATCAAGTTTTTGGTGCCGTTGCCGGGGATTTGTTTCGCTGCCTTTTGCTATTTTTCTTGTTTTAACTTCTGTTCTAGACACCTGATCTCTTGTTCTTTCTTAAAGTTTTTCTGAACTATCTTTCCCTTCTTTTGTTTTTCTCTGAATTGCATGAATACCAGGCGTAGACCTGCAGGAGATATTCCAATTCTAGACGAGATAGACAAACACGAAAGAGAACTTCGAAGACTTAGACGAACGCAAGGAATGGCCAACGACGACCAGCCTGGAGATCCTATTAATCGAAATTTAAATATGGACCAAGACGGGTCCGAACATGGAGAAAACGAAGAGAATGATCACAGAGGAGGTGATCATGCTCGACAGAATGAAGAGGAGGATGAGGTTCCTCCAAGAAACCACCAGAATCGCGAGAGAGAAGAACGTGAAGACCTTGAAGCACCCATCAATGCAGCCGATGGTGAATACCAAGGAGTGCAGCCGAATGGACGCATTAACCGCCCTGTTCAGCAAGCAAATCAACACCGAAGACAAGCCCGGAACCATCGCATAGCTGATTTTGATGCACCTACTCAAAATTTTCAGAATCGATCTGCAATTCAAGTACCATTTCCGAACCAGAATGAGTTTGAAGTCAAGCCTCAAATCATCTCATTGGTGAAGCAAAACTAATTCCATGGAGTTCCTTATGAGCATCCAATGGACCATATTGAGCTCTTTGAAGAAATTTGCAGCATGATGAGAACAAATCAAGTTTCACCAGACTATTTAAAGTGTAAGTTGTTCCCTTTTTCATTAGCAGATAAACCTCACCGTTGGTTGAAATCTTTGCCTGCAGGATCGATTACTAATTGGGAAGAATGTAAAACTGCTTTCCTGAACCACTTCTACACTAAGTCAAGGTCGGAACAAAGATCTCAAACTTTCAACAAGGGCCAACTGAATCTTTCTATGAAGCCTGGGAGCGTTTTAAGGAGTATGAACGTGATTGCCCTCACCATGGATTTCATGGATCAAGCCTGCTGAGCACATTTTACCGAGGTTTGCAACCAAAATACAAACTTTCACTTGATACAGCTAGCAATGGAGATTTTGGACAAAAGACGATACCCCAAGGAAGAGCCCTCATCGAAAATTTGGCTCAAGCCAATAGCAATGATTGTCCCGAATACGATCGATCGATGAAGCAAGCCGGAACAGACAACAAGGAGATAACCGAGTTGAAGAACATGGTGAGCCAGCTTCTGAAGAGCAACAATCGCCCAATCCATGCTTGTGAGACCAACAATGGCGCAGAAGATGAAGGACCTAGTGATATCGATCACATTAATCAAGCCTTTCAAGAAGAAGATGTGAACTATGTAGGAGC